ATGGGCATAAGGACTCTGTCAGAATTTTTACTTGAGGCTATTGGAGTTACGTTCTCACAAAATAATTTGTCAATTATTTTTCTGTGTCCTGAGACTGTGAATGAAAAATGAGAAGTAATTAATTAATTTAACTATCCAAATGCCAAGATAAGCTAGCCTTCAAGATGTGGCATAGATCTTGCTGGGTGCTTGCTTACAGCAGACTTTAAAGAGATGATCAGGAAGAGAAGGTGGAGCAGGAGTATCTTAATTACATGTAGTTTGGCCAGAGAAGAAGTGAGTGGAAATTTGTAAATAGGTTTTATAAACAAACACTAGTGACATTTAAAGGAAGCCAAACAGTGGGCTTCGCTTGGGAGGAATGCAGAAAATGGCCAGACCCTCACCTATCCCGTGAGCTAGAGAGAGCACCGCTTCTCAACATGTGGGTCATGGCCCCCTTTGTGTCAAATGACCCTTTCACAGGGGTTACCTAAGACCATCAGAAAACACAGAAAATACTTACATTGCAATTCATAACAGTAGCAAATTTGCAGTTATGAAATAGCAATGAAAACAATTCATGGTTGGGGGTTACCACAACCCGAGGAACTGTATGTTTTAAAGGGTTGCAGCATTAGGAAGGTTGAGAACCACTGCTCTATAGCATTGTAAATTCACTTGATGGCTTTTCCTGGAGACAGGGTATGTCTGTGGTGCTCTGTGCACACAGGGCCAACCAGGAAAGTGTGTTTCCAGAAATCAGCTACCAAAGTGCTCAGTAGGTGCTATAGCTGTGGTCCACAGAGGCCCCGACAGGTTCCAGATGTCACCAGACCATGGTATCATCCTTATGGTGCTAATATTTTAGGCATGTAGAATTCAGGAAATAAGGAGTCATGAAGGTTTCTGCTAATATTTTTAAAGAAAGGCCCTAGAGGTCGAGTGACATGTAGCACAGCATCTCCGAGGAGGTAACATATGTAGTTGTGAAGGTGAAGCCGAGGCTGAACTGGAGACCCTGGGAAATTGGAGATGCAAGAAATATAGAACACTTGCAGAGGAGACGGGTATAACGAACAGAGCCAGCGCAAAAGAGAGGCCATGTGGGTCGCAAGGCTTTGGGAGTAGGGCTGTCTATTAGAGTGACCATCATGATACTGTGCTGGATGCTAGACACTGAACTACAGAACTCCGTGTTTGCCATGCTGTGTTCCAACTCTGCTTTGGTCACATCTTTCCTTTTTTCTGTCCCACAGCTTCCCTTTTGAAATGGTAATATGCTGTGGGATGGTCCTTCTGTGAACTGTGAATATGAATTTCTCTCATTGGTTAATAATACAGCAAGGCAGAATGAAGTTAGGCGGGACAATCAAACTGAGAACTGGGATGAAGGAGGGTGGAGTGGAGAGAGATGCGAGTGAGCCATCCAAGAAGCAAGACGCTAGAGGACCAGTAAAGCCATGAGCCATGTGGCAATCCATACAAGAATAGAAATGGGTTAATTTAAAAGTGAGAGCTAGTTAATAATAAGCCTGAGCTATTGGTCGACCATTCTGTAATTAATACAAGTATTTGTGTGTTTATTTGGGACCCGCGGTTGGGACAGAAAAACTCTGCTTCCATTTACAGTAATATTTCTTTAATGCCATTTTATATTGAAAGAATGTGATTTTCTTTTTACTATTGCACAGGTTCAGAACTTAGAGAACTGACTTGAATCTGTAGAGATCTGGACTAACATTTTTTTGGAATGTTGGAACCATTAAGATTTGAAGGCCATGGGAAGACAAACTGAATGCATTTTGTATTGTGAAATGATCTGTTTGGGGGGCCGAGGTAAAATGTCACTGTTCAAAGTCACACGTTTGGTTGTCAAGGAAACAAGATATGGACTTGCAATCTTCCCTATCAACTTGACTGGGTTTAGAATTATCGAGGATACAAAAAGGCATACCTCTGGGCATACATGAGGACGGTTCCAAGGGAGGAACTGAGTGGCGAAGACCCAGCTGGCTGTGGGTGGCACCATCCCACGGTCAGAATAAAATATGAAGTGAAAAAGATCAAGGGCAATAGCGCCCCCTTTCTCTGTTTCCTCTTCAGCCACGATGTGAGTGACTCTCCTCTGCCACTGTGACCGTAGCTTGATGAACTTACTTCTGTGAAATCATGAGGTAAAACAATCCCTCCCTCCACTCACTTGTAAGGTGTTTTCAGTCACAGTGACAAAAAGTTATTAGTGCACTCCCTCTAAGGCAAGGAGACTTGAGATGGAATTGGATATTGCCTGAAGTCTGTTAGTGAGAAGAGCAAGCAATGGCTGAACTGTGTCTATCTGGGTGCCACAGTGGCTGTGGATGCAAATTAGTTACTCAAAGAGGAGTATTAATACTGTAAATTCATTAATGCATCCTACATTCTTTTCCCTGGGACAATTTTCCAGGTGAGGGAAATGTATAATTTAAAAGTAAGACATCCAATTTTGTTCTCTCTAAAATTGGTATTTCCAGCCTTTCCTCTTGCCACCGTGAGGTTGAATACAGGTTACAGCTGAAAATAAACAATCATATCTTATGAAACTCTTTATATTTAGGATGTAAGTGTCAAGAAAAAAGTGTATGGCATTAACACATGCAAGGGGATATTTCAGATAGTCCTCGGGTGCATTGTCAGCAAAACCCATAAAGATACAAAGGTGTGTTAGACGCTGTAGCTAACAAGCTGGAGATTTTTGCACACTGGCTTCAATCAGAGCCATTCTAGCAGATAATTACAATGCTGCCATGCTGCACTTGGAGGGTTTAATGCTGAAAATGAATGAGAAAAGAGATTCTAGCTGGAGACACAGATTGTTGACCTCTGCATTAGCCTGGTGACCAGAGGACAAGGAAGACTTGGTTTTGTTGAGGATCATGTACCCTTGACCAGATCATGTCATATTATTTCACTGGCATCTTAAATTCAGTTTTATAAAACCACCATGCTGCAATAGCTAAGAAATAGAAACAACCTAGATGTCCTTCTATGAAAGAGTGGGTTGTGACAATGTGGTACATGTATACTATGGGGTGCCATTCAACCGTAAGGAAAAAGGAAATCGTGAACTTTGCAGGTAAGTTGTGGAACTAGAAAAGATTGTCTTGAGCGAGGTAACCCAAACTGATGCGCTCTCATCTGAGGCTCCTAGCTCCAAATCTTCAGATGGGAGTAACTGGAACAACTGAAGAAACCAGTAGGAAGGGGCCGTTGAGGGGAGGGGCTAGGGAGGAGTGGAAAGGGGACCAAAGGTGTGCAAGTGATCTGACAGGGAAAACGGGGAGAGGAGGGGCTCTGATTATGGATAGGGGAAGAAAATAAACGGGGAAGGAGAAAAAGAGCAAAAGAACAATAAGGATGTCTGAAAAGTTATAAAGAATCATAATATTAACTACTGAAAAATCCTTAATACACATAAGTCTGTCTACAAATATGCATATATAATTTAAATGAACTTTTCTCATCTGGGTGGACAATGCTAAGACCAGAAGGCAAAAAAACACAACACCAGGTATGAGAAGACTTTTTTGAGTTGCTGGTCAGGGTTGTCCAAAAGACTCCCAAAACATTACAGGCTATTGCTATTGCCCTTGGCTGCCCACTAAGATGACTGGCAGTTCCCTCTTGCTGAAGACAGCACACAGTTCAAACATATTCCCCGAGACCCCTGAGCTAGAACTGGCCTGAATGCCCCTTCTGAGGACTAGCTTCCACAGTACCATGTGATCTTCCAAAGGAGGGAAGCCACCAATAGTCCTACCCAGCGATGATGCTGATGAACCATGACAATGATCTTCATGGCATCATAACTCTAAGATCGAAGTAGTAGTATGCATATTTTGATGGTAAACAACAGCTCTATAATTTGACTTATACCCCGCCCAACAAGAAGGAAATCATACCTGGTACTGAAAACCTAGCCAACTCCCCAGGGCTAGTGAAGTCATGGATCTTGGAGGAGAAGATACAACTGCCACTTTATTAAGGCAGTATAATCCCCAACTACACTCTAAATATTTGTCCTTATACCCACAGATGAGTACAGTCCTCACTCCTCAACAAGGACACTTCTCTTTCCAAGAGACAGAGACCATTATAGAAAACCACAACCAGTCAAAATGCATAGTTGTAGCACCCAGTCCCAACAGACACATCTACAAAGCAGCTCCCACATCTAAGGCTCAGGGACCATTGCAGAAAAGGGAAGCTTCAGAGAGAGCCAGAGGATCAGGGAGTTTGCGGTGAAACTGTGTCTCCTAGGAATGTCAGAAGTTACAGCCACAAAGTCTCACCAACATGACTTACTGAACAAGGACAATACCAATAGACATGCCAAAGTAGATGGAGGAAAGCCAGGGAGGCCTCAACACTACACAAAGAACTACGGGCAACTAAGAAATGCTGAGTGAGAGAAAAAGTCTTCCCCAGGGAAGAGCACACCAACTGGGTATCCAGTACCAAATGGTCAGCCGAAACATGTACATAAAATTTACATCATATAGACTGAGCTGTATATATTTGGGAATGTATATGTATATAACACACACACACACACACACACACACACACACACACACACATACACACACACACACACACACACACACACACACACACATACACACACACACACACGCATGCAGTAACAATTAAAAAAAAAAGAGACCATGAATTTGAAAGAGAGAAGCAAGGAATATTGGAGGCTTGGAGGGAAGAAAGAGAAAGGAGAAATATTTTCATTATATTATAATCTCAAAAATAAAAGTATTATTTAGAAAAATGACATTATGCTTGCTTATTAGAATCAGAATGACCAGAAGAATTCATGGTTTCAAAAGAAAAAAAATTAATGCAACATAGGGAAATGGTCATATGTTGTCTGTTCCCAGGGCCTGTAAGCAATTTTGTCTCTGACTATACCCTTCAAAAGCCAGGAAAATACATAAGTACTAGCATCTTGGTTATTCACAGAGAGTGAGTACCTGAAGGAGAGGGCTGTCCTTTCACTACGCCATTTTTAGTCTTTTCTTCTGAGTTCATTACTTCCTTGTAGATAAGTTCTGTAAGAAACAATTGTCCATGTTATTATAACCGAAAAGCAATGATTTCCTTAATCTACAAACAGATGCACTAGCTAATGACAAGTAAAATCTCTGTGGTGTTGAATGGATTCTTAAATCACTGAGGATTTTCAATCTTCCATTTCTATATTTCCTTGCACTATGCGTGAAGCTTAAGTAAAGCAGATTCTTGTTACAGCAGTTAAGTAAATGTCTAAAAATAAATAAATGACTGTTTTCTGAACTGATCGTGATGGACTCCCGAGTACAAGAAATTAAATAACCTCATTTGCTTGTTTACTTGTTTCTTGGTTGGCTTTTGCAGTATTGGGGTTCAAACCCAGGGCCTCATGTGTGTTAGGAATTTAGCTCCACCCACCCACCCACGCGGAACTGTGTTCCCAGCCAATGCCTTCACTTTGGGATGCTCTTGTTTCCTTTTATAATTACTTCTTCCATGCAAATCCTATGCACTTTAAATTATAATCAATCCTTATAACTTGTGTCTCTAATACCATCTTTCTTCAACACTTATGTTGTGGACTTGTAAACCCAAGCACAACAGAAACCTGAGAATTAAAAAATCATTTTGTTCATCCCCAGACCGGCAGCCAATTTTTTTTTTCTTGTTGCTGTAGATCAGCCTGGAGATCTCTAGTTCTTTATGTTGCCAGATTTAGGTAAAAACCATTCAGTCCTACTCATCCCTTCTTGCAATGGCTTATATCCTCCACAGGTACTTCTTCCTCCAGCTTAGCACGTGTCCTGTTCACATTGGCTATGTCTTCTCACTTGCGACTTCACAAGCCCCAATAATGCCTTTGTGTTTCATTTAGATCAAAGCAACCCTTCTGCACCCCCATCTGCCATCAGTGTTTCCCTGACGCCACCACTTTCATTGCATGTTTTTCCATGTTCACCCACACGGTCCTTTGGATGACATGGTCACCCACATGACCAGTAGAATCTCTTTATAACACTCAGCTTATTTTTAACACTGGTTTCTCCCTGTTTCCTCCATCTGGTATTTTCCTTTTCCCAAGTTATATGATGATTTCTTTAAAAGTTGCTCAAAATTTTCTTCCTTTTTTGTTCTGGCTCATTTTAGTTTGACCAAGTGACACCATCTGTACTTGGATTCCTTAAATTCATTCTTCTCTGTAGTTAATTATATTAGTTTAACAGTTCTTTGTAGGTTTAGCTCTTTTTTCTCTTATGTTTCTTCCTCTGTATAATTTTGAAGTTACAGTATGAGTTTGGAGAAGTTTTGCTGAAAAAATGGATTGACGCACTCACTCATTCGTTTTTATTTAGGCGAGGAATGAGCCTCTTGTGTTCACATATATTCTATGTAAACTCTCAAATCCCATAAATTTTGTTAATTAATTTATGTGCTAACTATATTTAATTTTTAAAACTTAAAGTATATTTCAAACTTATATTTAGATTACATTTTGTTTATTTGGGAGAGGGGGGGCACAGCCTGGGGATAGTATATGGCAGTTGGTTCTTTCCTTCCCTGTGTGGGTTCAGGGATTAAATGAGGATTTTTCAGGATTAGTACTCGCCCTACTGATCCATCACTCTAGCTATCAAACTTAATTTTAATTTTATATGCAAACACAGGAGTTCAATTGTTAAATATTAAAATGAAGCTTGACCCCATGACAAGCACTTTAGCTATCAATACTATTTTTTTTTGCAAAAGTGTCCATAATTAAATTCTTTTTAGTCTTAAGCAAATAGAATTTTTGTATTAATATAAAAGACAGATAAACTTTAGGAAATTTCAAAATAATTGCATTCTTGTTTGTATTTCATTCACTTTTTGCGGCACTGGAGACTAAACTCAGACTTTGTATATACTGGACACACACTGATTGAGCTCCCACACCAGCCCCATAACAAGGCACTAAAATGTCACTTTTTAATGAAGCATTGTACAGGAGGAAGCTGCAGATGCTTTCTTTGTATTGACTACATGGCCTGACAGGATAGTTTCTATATTCTGATGTCCGGGAAGGCAAAATGTACATGTAAGCACAGCACAGTCACCTTTCCATTCTTCAATGGTGTGCTCCCTCTCATCCAGCTGTTTATCATATATCTGAGGAGGAGGCTGCGGGACAAAAAACACACATTTTTTAATGACAACCAATCCAAACACAACTGTACTCTCATAATTATTTGTGGAAATACCTTGCTACTCATTGATTTGGGCGGCAACGGTACCCTTATATCAGTTTTGGGGAATAAGTAGTAGCTCAACAGTTAAATATTCCCCAAATCTTGTGGAATAGTTACTTACAAATGGCTCACTAATAAGACAGCAGAACTCATATCTTAAAGTCTCACTTCCCAGTGCCATCATCCCTAGTCCCACAGAGGGACAGTGGCTGGGCTGCATGTTTGGTGGCAAAGACCCAGAATCAGTGTTCTCTGCTCACACAGCCTGTGCCAAAACTCTTCCAGATTGACAGACCTTGTATCATTTTTAACCTATTCTATACCCAGTAAAACAGTGCATGTTCCCACTCAAAGAACGATTTGTATTAAATTAACCTTTTATTTTTATTGAAACATTATTACATATTTCAGACATAGCCTTGCACCCTGTATTGAAATGGATCTACTCACTCCCCTCCAGCAGAATCAGTTTCTACTTTACTATAGAACAGGGTCGTCTGGACCCCCTGAGTGGCCACTGGGTTGCACTCTCTGAGGAGACCGACTTAATGCAATCACCATTCTTCCTGTACGGAGTTCAAGTATGACAGGCAGTTTCCATAGTCACATGCTTCCCAGGATGGCGGTCTTCATATAACCTATCTGACCTCTTGTTCCTAATATGTGGACTTGGGGACATCTGCCACATTAACTAGAAAGCTCCAACTTAAGTGACATAACACAGAAAGGCAAACAAGTCTCGGAAGAGCACATCAGCACAAAGTGGAGGAAGTGAACAAGAGGAAATACGTTAGCCAGCGTGGACCAGTACAGGCAGGAATTACAGTGTCTCTGTTACTAAGAGATGAGGAGGCCTAGAATCCATTCTTGATCAGTACTCTAAAAACAATAGTTTTTTGAGAAACTAAAAAAGTTACAGAATCAGAGGAACTCCCACCTATTAGAAGATGGATTTAAAAAAAAAAAAGGTGTCCTTATAAGGAAGGTTTTCATTAAGAATATATGAACAAGGTGGGGGGGGGGGTCAAGACCATGATGGGGAAATCCTCAGGGGCAACTGAACCAAGCTGGTACGAACTCATGAACATTAGACCGACAGCTGTGGAACCTGTATGAGACGGGACCAGACCCTCTGCACATGGGAGACAGTTGTGTAGCTGGGTCTGTTTGAGGGCGACAGGCAGTGTGATCAGGATCTATCCCTGGTGCATGAGCCTGCTTTCTGGATCCCATTACCTATGGTCAGACACTTTGCTCACCCTTGATGCAGCAGGGAGGGGCTTGGTCCTGCCTCAGCTGAATGTACCAGGTTTAGCTGTCCCCTCATGGGAGAACTTACCCTTTTGGAGGAGGAGATGAGGGGGAGAAAGGGAGGGGCGAGTGGGAGGAGGAATGAGAAGGGGATCTGTTGGTATGTAAAATGAATTTAAAAAAATTTAAAAAAGATTTCCTCACACATTCTTGCTTCTGTGCTAGATTCATTATCCCAGAAGCCACAACCAGAGCCAATTTTATTCAGATACAGCCAGCAGAGCAGTGCTACTCAGTGGTCAGCACGTGGACAGTGAAGCAAATGGGAGGCTTGGCTGCACCCCAGGACCCCAGGGAAAGCCCCCAGACACGGACTGTGCACAGCGGAGGGACTGGAGAATCAGCGCTGTCCTGGGGCTGCCTGGAGGACTGTCTCCTCCTTCAAGCTGTAAAGGACTTACAAAGGAATACATTGATTTCCTGGAAAAAGAAGGCAAAACGGGAGCCGTTTTTGAGTATATATGAGACTGTTCTAAACTCAGTTCAGCAGAGCAGAGTCTGGATTTGAAGAGAGATTTTGTCACGCAGCAGCTTGTCTGCTCTGCCTCTCCCTGAGAATGTGTGAGGCGGTATTAGGCCTGCAGGACAGCATGCTCAGACCTTTGTGCTTCGCTGGCTCTCCTCCTTCCTCTCAAAAAAGACTGAGCTCAGGATGCTGTGTGACTGGCCTCCCCACAGAGGAGATTTTTCCATACAAGTTTCAAAATTGAACATGACTTAAGAGTATAGCTCCTGCCAAAGTTCATGAATGTCATTTTCTGCAACAAAGCTATTTTGAGGAGGCTTTTCTTGGCGCTTCAGCATGCAAATGTTACTGGTGTCCAAAGCACTAAGCACAGACTCTAACCACAGACTACAGAGGAAGCAAAGAGCTAAGTCTAGGATCTTTGCTTTCAATAAACCAAGAGTGATGTTGGAAACCTTTGTGTTTGTGGTTACCATCCTAACATATGAGTCCTCTGGGTTTTTGTTTTGCTTTTCTTTTTTTAAAGTCTGGGTTTTTATTTTGATTTGAGGTTTTCCTGAAGAGAGGAAGCGGATGTTACCTATAGTGGAAGGGTGCATTCACACAAACATGTCACCTAAATGACAGTATAAAAGAGTTCTTGGCAACAATTTAAAGACAGTAGAGTCATAAGCCACGTACTCATACACTCGTGCTTAGGAAACAGTTGTACAGTTGTTAGCACGTGATTTTCCCTAGTAACCCTGCTTTTACTTGCAAAGGGAATGTTCGGTGTTTGGTTAGTGAGGTATTCTCTTTCTCAACCTTAGTATGTAGGAAGGATTTTCCATCAGTAGGGAAAATCCTATATAAAAAAAAATAAATAAAGAACAAGGGCAAAGAAACATGGAGATGTTGTAGAGAATCACACCTTCACCATGAGTTAGTAAATATTATCATCCATTTATTAACCTATTAAATTCATTTATTCAATAAAAAGCTTAGGTTGTGTGATGGCTAGTGTTAATTGTCAACTTAACCGGACCTAGACTCTCCTGGGGTGGTGGGCATCTTTGTGTGTCTGGAGGGAATTATTTTGAAGAGAAAGATCCATCTTAATTGTGGGTAGGATCTTCTCCTGGGCAGGGGGTCCTGGCCTGTAGCAAATGAAGAAGGAAAGCTGAAAGTTAGCATGTACCCACTGGTCCCTGGTCCTGAGAGTGAATATAACATAACAAACTTGTTCAGGCTCCCTGAACCTTGACCTCTCTCCATGATGGACTGTACCCTTGAACTAGCAGCCAGAATAAATGCTTAAATGGCTTCTGTCAGAATATTTTATCTTATCAACAAGACAAAAAACTAAGACTGGTGCTGAACATGTACCAGACTATACTTAAAAATGATATTTCAAACTGGAATTATTTGGCTGCCAAACTCAATGATCTCACATTTAAAGAATTTTTTCATTCTTCAAAACTGCTACAATATACAGAAGGATGTAATTAAATTTGAGACAGCATCTAAAATGTTGGAAAATATAATGAAATATCTTCAATACCAATATTGATACTGTGTATGACCAAAAGAAAAAGGAATAAGTGTGACCGGGGAAAACATACAGGTCTTACTTATATTCTCTCAATTATCTTTGAGAGGTTAATAAATGAAGATCATTATTATCTTTCTAGTTAGAATTAAGCTCCTTTATTTTCTGAGAAGCCATAATTGTCTAGGCTGCTTCTAAACACCTTAACAATCCTCAGAATCAAGAAACTGTGGTGAATTTTCAAATATATAACTTGAAGTCAGATGACTAGTTAATGATATAACTTTTATTAAAAATCCAAGTGTAAAGAATTATCCAGACACAGTGGACTTAGTTCTAAAATAAATTATGTTTTAGAAGAGCATAGACCCATAGCCAATGCGGTAACCACATTTCCCACTTTGCCCAAAAGAATGCTCATGTCCTTTTAGTTACTAGGACACTTTGCTATCCTCACTATGTTAAGATGATGAACTGGGAGATAAACTGGTGTGTTGTGAGATGCTGTGTTAGAGATCTGAGATATATAATTGCATGACAAATTAAAGATAGATGAATGATTTTGCATTTCAATATTTTCCCATAACTCAGGTTTAAACTATTATGTAATATCCATAAGTTTTGCTTCTCCAAGAAGGCATGGCAGCATTTTCTTCCAATTTTTCAAATACTTTTTAGAATGTAAAACTCAGAATTGGGCAAGTGACTAAGTCAGAGGTTCTGAGTGATGACTGCTCTTCCAAAGGGCTCGAGTTCAGTGAGTAAACCTTTTTTTAAAAAGGATATAAGATTTAGCTCTCGGAAGAAATAGTGTAGGAGAGTGCGGTCTCCACTCACAACAGGGGTGGAGGAGCACATGGCCACTTGTTATTCTGTGCTGTGCTGACTGGCGGGAGTCACTCTTTACTGAAGGGTTCTCTCTACCACCACCTTCTCATTCTCCAGTTCACCACTACAAGAGGAAATCTTCTCTTTCTTTTCACTTCATTGTGTCCCACATTTTTAAACAGAACTTCTCTGTTGAGCATCATGTGTCAATTCATTCTGTGCTAATCTTCTAAACAATGCTGGTTTGGGTGGTTTCACGTAAGTTACAGAAGAGAGTTTGGTACTCTTGAGTCAATTTGCAAATGAAAATACAGAAACACAGAGAGAAAAAGTCATGTTTTTCATGATCAGAGAGGTAATTAGAACAAAGCCATGGATAAATCTTAAAGTTTCCCACAGGAAAAGACAGAGTGAATGAATCCTTATGAGTTCCAGAAATATTAAATTGGATAATTTCACACTTGCAAAATATTTTAATTAGGGCAAGTTTTAGCCTGCAACTCTAATTTCTAATTTCTGTCCCAGTGTTCTGTTAGTGCACATGTGTAGCTATATCTGGAAACCATCACACAACGGTCAACTTTTAGGTTCCTAAATGCTTTCTGTCAGAGTATCTTGGACATCAATACTTCTCCACCGATTCTTAAAGCAGAAGAGAAACAGGAACAGGAAACCTAAGCTGAGCAAAGTTCTTCCTTTTATGCATTTTGGGATAACAGGATATCCAGCTTTGAATCTGACATTTTGACGTTTTCTTCTATAACGGTCTTGTCCTGACCTATTCAACAATCATCCAACCTTTGGTGTTCGCTTCAAGCCTGTTGTCCTAATCAGGCTTCTCCATCTTTCTCTTTACCTCTGCCCTTCAAAATATGTCAATAAAAGACTTATAGCAGCATGTGTGGGCATCCGGTATTAAGTCAAGAGGTTATCACAAAGTAAATGATATCCTACTAAACTGAAACATGCTTTGTTTTCCTCTTATAAAGCTTGGCAGTTTATTACTAAAAATGCATGTCTTGTTGAAAATTTTTAAATAAGAAAGGTATTTTTAAAAAGAAAGAAAAAAAGAGAGTTATATTTAAGAATATATATTTATATACATACACACATATGCATGCAATAACAATTAGCGAAATAAGAAGTCATGAATTTGAAAGAGAACAAGAAAGGATGTGTAGGAAGTTTGGAGGGAGGAACAGAAAGGGAGAAAAGTTGTAATTACATTGATCTTAAAAATAAAAACAGTAAATAAGAAAGAAAGACAAACCTACCAATCATACACTATAGCCGGCAAACTGTCCTTAAGAAATAAAGAAGGATCAAACTAGTTTAGACAATCAAAAGCTTTAGGAGTCCATCACTATCATAAATGCTTTACAAGAAGAAAAGTGTTCTTTAAGCTGGAAAAGAATGTATTAATCTGTAACATTTAAGTATGCTGTCAAAGCATAAAATACGTCAGAGGGAAAAGTTGAAGGCAACATTGTGACTACAGTCAACCACAATGTATTGTATTCTTGAGATCAGCAAAGAAACCATAAGTGCTGTCACCACATAAAACGATGTGAGCATATAAGGTGAAAGTATGTCAGCTAGTCCTGTTAACATTTCATAATAAAGACATATTCCACCGCGCATAGTAGATGTGCAAACTTTTCAAATAGGCCAGTGCCCCTAGGTTGGGAGTAGTAAGTGTACACCTGACACCCAACCCAATGAGCTCTTCTTAAGTGTCTTACACTGTGTTCCTAGAGCAAGTCCTGAGAGGGACTCAGGTGGGAGGGACATTTGCAGCAGTGCTCTTAGGGCATCACATACTTGAAGAGGATCACTACGGAGCTCTAATGGCTAGGGATGTCCCTTGTAAGCACTTTTTCCATTCCAGTGAAAGGCTGTGCCAACAGGGGATGAACAGTAGGCAAGAAGTGACAAGCTCAGGGTCAGTTTTCCTCTGAGAGGTTTGATTTGGTTTGATTTAGTGTTGGGAAGGACCCCGAAGAACTAGTGCAGCCCATGGCTTGGATATGAAGGAGATGAGGGAGCAGCACCAGATGACTTCTGACAGCTGCTGGATCGTGGCTGAGGTGGACAGGCTGAGAAGAGGAGGAAACTGTGTGGATGGATTAACTCACATCAGTATTCAAGATGCTACTCTTGAAAGGGCAATCACAACCCCAGTAACTGATTTAGAGATCTGGAACTCTGGGCAGCTGTACAAGGCAACATAATATTAAAAGGGCCGAGCGGAAGGTATGTTCTCAGGGGAGGGAAGAAAATAAAGCAGAAAGGAAAGAGGTGCACACATAGTCTAAGGGAAGAGTAAAGCCCGGAATGTGGAGAGTGTGTTGTCACCATGGACACCAAGGGGAAGAGGTGTCACAATAGAAGAATCTTGGACTCTAGAGCACCGAGAACAGATACGCGAAGGGCCTATTCTCCTTGATCTTGCCACATGGAAGCCTCTAGCACTTTTGGAGAAGGCAGCTTCAAAGCCTGAGAAATGAAACAGGTAATTTATCATTGAGCAAGGACTACCTTCAGTAGAAGCGTGAGTATAAAGGTCACGACATCGCCAGCTATGGGCGGAATATAGCTGTTCGAAGTTGGTGTTGACTTTGTTCTTTGAAATGAGAACAGATGGAGTATGCTGAGGTATTAAATAACATTCTGCAGAAACTGGTAGGGAACACACAGAAGAGACCCAAATCCAGAAACAAATATCACCATCAAGAGTGCTGTCCTAGTTTTGTCTGGGCTTTCTGTAGTTGACTCTATCATCAGTTTTCTCCTCAACATCTTCATCATCCTGTTAGCATTTCCAAGAAACTGACTTTCACACTGTGCTTTATTAGCCTTTCTGCCAACCCTCTTATCTAGGCATTCATGGGAAACACGACGATCAGACATCCTGTCAGTCATCAGAGGCGGCAACATTTTAACCCACACCTATTTGAACACAAATTTCATGGTATTTTTGGCCTTTCACCAAATCTGGGTTAATGATATAATTCCTCTCTGTTTAACTTGTTAAAATAAATATGTATTCGATAAAGTTTTATTAGGCAAATAAATCCACATAGAATGCTATGGGGAAAGGTTCATACTATCTTCAGCTGGATGGGGGCCTCCAAATGCAGTTAATTAGAATTACAGGTTCCAGTTTGGTATCTACTGTAGAACAGGACCAGGACAGTCATTGTGCCACGCTACTGCCACCTTATGGCTGTAGAAAAGAGGACACAGCAGGGAAAACACTCCCCTTCTATCGTTTCCATCAACTAGTCCTAAGGCAAGCTTCCTCTGACATGGCTGTGTGTTCAGATTACCGGGGAGCATGCCAATGCCCAGACACTAGGCTAGAGGTTCTTCTGCAATTGCTCCAAGGTAGGAGTGCTTACAAATTCACCCAATGGTGACATTGCACAGCTGTGACTCATGACACATTTCTCATCTCTTACACAGTTATAAAATCAAGTTCACCTAGGTGTCCTTTGGGTATACCGATACTAAGGAAAACCTAACGGCCTTCAGTGGACTGTATGTCTTGGTAGACTGAAATGGTCACTGTACAGGAAGATCAGTGAACATGAGATCTGTATCCTGTAGTCAAGGGCAGCCTTCCAGCAGAGAAGGCGAAGGGGACTTCTAAATCACTCAACCACAGATTCCCTGGAAGGGACGTGGGGGAAATGGATCAAATGCGGGATCCAGACCAGAACGGCAATGGGGCTTGAATGGTGTCCTTGTGCCAGCCACTTGGTTTGCAATGAAATCATTTTACATCTTGTTTTACTAAAGATAAAACTAATTCTAAATGCTCACTACCGGGTATGTCAACAAACTTCTGTTGAAAACGTCATTGTGAAGTGTACTGTGTTTCCTAAAGGGTTTCATATTAAGAAAGCAACCCGTCATTGCTAGGAGACATCACAGCACTAAATGACCAGGGGACTCAGTAAGCCAGCAAGGCATATATTAATTATGGTGTGAACTGAATATAGTTAGAAAGCTTAATGGGACAATGCTCTAGAAGTCTGGGTGAAGTCAAGTTCTTTTTTCCTACTTTTTATTATTCTGCAGGCTTTTTTTTTTTTTTTCAGATGTCAGTGTGATGCTTTGAAAGAAAATGGCCCCAAAAGGGAGGAGCACTAATGGGAGGTGTGGCCTTGTTGGAAGAGTTGTGGTATTGTTGGAGGAAGTATGTCACTGTGGAGGCAGTCTTCGAGTGTCGTATGTGCTCAAGACACCACTAGTGTCTCAGACCACTTCCTGTTGTAGCCAGCACCATTTCTGTCTGCACACTGCCACGCTCCCAGCTACCATGCCCCCCACCGTGATGATGATGAACTAGACCTCTGAAACTCTAAGCCATCACCTCAATTAAATGCTTTTCCTTTATAAGAGTGGCCATGGTCATGGTGTCTCTTCACAGCAATAGAGACCTTAAGTAAGACAGCTTAGAAACTGATTATATTTTCCTATCAAAAAGCTTAGTCATGTATAAGAAATGGAGATTGTCTTTACTGCCCCCATTAAATTTTTTTCTGATGCTTTACCTGAAAGCACTCAGACTTGCACCACCAACCACACTTGCCCACACCATCCATCTGTTCTTCATTCATTTATTTCACACATATTTATGAACCAACTGCTACATGTTAGTCATCCCAGAATTCCACCTCCTGGAGCGTCAATATAATTTAAAACTCCTGCAAGTTATTACACATAGTTCAGACCCAAAAAGGCTTGTTACCTAGGCACAGGGCAGAATTTGTTTTATTCCTGCATAGGAGATCAGAGCAGCGTCCTGAATCTCAGCTGTGCATCAGAATCACACGGTGTGGTGGTTTGGATGAAAATGGCCCTTGTGTTCATGCTTGAATACTTGGTCCCCAGTTAGTAGAACTATTGGGGAAAGACTAGGAGGTTTGGTCTTATTGGAGAAGGTATGTCAGCATGGGTATGCTTGAAGGATTCAAAAGACTCGTGACATCCCAGGGTGATCCTTGCTTTCTGTTTGTGGATTGAGAGTTGGCTTCTCACTGCTTCTCCAGTGCCATGCCTGCCCCCGGCCATGTTCCTCACTATGATGCTGATGGGCTCCATCCCTCTTCCTTCTGTAAGTTGTCCTGGTGTTTTAGTTTGGTTTAGTCTGGTTTTAGAGACAGGGTTTCTCTGAATAACCCTGTCTATTCTAGAACTCACTCTGTAGACCAGGCTAGCCTCAGATTCAGAGATCTGACTTCTTCTGCCTCCCTGGCATTAGAATTAAAGATGTGAACCACCATGCCTGGCTGCCTTGGCATTTTATCACAGTAATAGATAAGTATCTGCCAGGCGTTGGTGGCGCACGCCTTTAATCCCAGCACTCGGGAGGCAGAGCCAGGCGGATCTCTGTGAGTTCGAGGCCAGCCTGGGCTACCAAGTGAGCTCCAGGAAAGGTGCAAAGCTACACAGAGAAAACCTGTCTCAAAAAAAAAGAAAGAAAGAAAGAAAGAAAGAAAGAAAGAAAGAAAGAAAGAAAGAAAGAAAGAAAGAAAGAAAGAAAGAAAGAAAGAAAGAAAAGTATCTAAGACCCATGGTAAGTGTGTAAGCATCTCTTGAGCTGTCTTCCTATGTCTATCCTCAGGCTTTCATTAGTTCTAATCCGTTACTACAGCTGCATCTTCTTGCCTTCCACCTGCCTGTCTCCCACTGAAGTTCTGCTTTGCAAAGAAAATGACTTGTTGAAAGTTTAAAATTGAATGGTGTTCTCCAGTTTCTCTCACTGGGGAGAGGGTGCAGAGTCCACAGCGCTGTTTCCTTTTCTGGCTCCTGCTTCCAGCCCAACCTACTTTCTCATCTATCTCCATTGAGTTAACCTGAAGGTTTGCAATTCTCCTGACCTCTTCTCTCTTGCAATGAGTGTATATGTCCTGACTTCTGCCTGTCTTCTCTACTTTAATACTTCCATTATCCTTCACACTTGTATTTAGAGATTAGTCCCTCCAAGGAGCTTCCTCTAAAGCACATTGCTAAACTGAGTGCTTTTCTATGCAATTCTATTATATTGTGTTTAAAATCTAAACTATTTATTACTCGATATATGCTCTTTAGTATACTATGGTACAAATAACACAGAACAATGATTGTCTCTTCAGCTTTGCTTACTGGTGTGTAGCTCTGTACATCGTGTAGAATAGATATTCTGCAAGTGGGAATAATTACTGTGCTCAGAATGGATGCATCCAAACTTGGGGAAAAAAATCTGTCAATTAGCAAAATTAAATAAATGATGCTGGTTCAACATTCCAATTGCGGAACATACAGAGACCCAAGCTTTACATAGCTATACATATCAGCAGTTTTGATGTTTTGATACTATTATGATGAAATACCATGACTAAGTTGGTTTTGTTCATGGTATTTCATCATAATAGTAACACTATTAAGACACCTATAGAGAACTCCTACTGAAACTGTTTGTCAAGGCATCCTTTAAAATCCTTGACAGTTTAATACAAACTATTCACTAACAACTATTTATCTGATTACAAGATCCAAACTGTATTTTAAGTACTTGAACAATGTCCCAAAGGGTCTGTGCGATCTCTCTTGGTTGATCTTTAGTTCTAGGTGTAGTATCAACTGCAGGGAGGAGAGGAAGCCCTGAGGGAGTGAAGTCCTGGATGATGTGCAGTGTTGACACCAGCACAGCCATGTCCAGGACTCTAATGTCTCTGCCCCATAGGTGAGGCTCAGCATGATAGCAAAGCCTTTCTCACTGATCCAAGTGCAAACAGTTGATCATTGCACACAATAACTAGCAACTGGAGCTTCCTTGTCCCTGATGTTCACAGCCTGAAACTGCTGGCCTATTATGTTGGCTATTTTTATGTCAACTTGACACAAGCTGGAGCTATTGGGAGCAGAGGGAGGCTCAACGGGGAAAAATGACTCCATAAGACCCAACTGTAGAACATTTTTCTTTTTTCTTTTTGTCTTTTTTGTTTGGTTGGTTTCTTGAGACAGGGTTTCTCTGTGTAATTTTGGTGCCTGTCCTGGAACTCACTCTGTAGAACCAGGCTGGCCTCAAACTCACAGAGATCCGCCCGGTTCTGCCTCCGAGTACTGGGATTAAAGGTGTGCACCACCATCACCCAGCATTTTCTTAACTAGTGATTGATGGGGAAGGGCCCAGCCCACTGTGAGTGGTGCCATCCCTGGACTGGTTGTCCTGGGTTCTATAAGAAAGCAGGCTGAGTAAGCCACGTGGAGGAAGCCAGTGAGCAGCACCCCTCCATGGCCTCTGCATCAGCTCCTGCCTCCCGGTTCCTGCCCTGTTTGAGTTCCTGTCTTGACTTCCTTCGATGGTGAACTGTTATCACCATGTTGGTTTCGGTCATGGTATTTCATCATCATAGTAACACTAATTAAGACACCTACTGAAACTGGCTAACCCCTCCTTCTCCCATGATAAACACACTGAGGTTCTGGGTCGTAGCAGTAGTAGGTGCCAATACATCAGAG